ATCCAATCCAGGATGGTTCAGTGTGTTTGGAAGGAACAGATGGAGTCAGTTCCCAAAGTAACCAATAAGATACTTTCTCCTCTGTTCATTCATTCAAAATAGGAATGAAAGGAACGAGAGGGTTAGAAACATGTTCACACACAGGCACAGAGCAGCAATGCAAGTATCTTTCTCTCGATCCATGTGGATTCCAATCTCTGGAAGTTGTGTTGAAACTCTGGAAAGAAGCTGCAACAAAATGCTGACAAGGAACGGACACACGTTCTTATGCTTATATCTGTGACTATCAGCACTCACTGAATGCTGATCTAATGCTGGGGCAGGGGGAAAAAATGCTTTTGGTTGCAAAAAAAAAAAAAAAAAAAAAAAAAAAAAAAAAAAATATATATATTGTCATCTCAGTCTATCTTAGTGAACAGACACTAAAAGCTAATAAAAATAAATAAGTAAAAATAAAACCTTTTTTCTTCTTCCAAATGTGTTTCTGGCAACAGGAGTCACAAATTTCTTGTAATATGTATTTTTAAAAAAATGACATAATTTATAAAAGATTTTAATTAAAAGACAGTTTTTGGTAGCTTTTATGAGTTTCTTTTATTTACTTAAATAAAAAAAAAAAAAAATGTAAAATTTCAAAGTGGCTAAATAATATATGGGTGTATTTTGTCACTGAATAACTAGTGACTAAAGGGGGTCAATTGATCAATTGAGAGTGTAGGGGAGAGGAAAAAAAAAAAAAAAAAAAAGAGGAGAAAGTGGGAAAACCAATGTTCCCCAGCCCACTCCAATAGCCTCACAGTGCAAATACCAACTTTGTTAAATTGGCAGGAAAAAAAAAAAAAAAAAAAAGTATGTGCAGCACTTTAGTATATTAAGGAGTAGAAAACCTCCACTGCATTGTCAAAGGAAGAGGCAATAACATTGGAATGGGAATGAGAAAAGGAGAAACAAGAAATCAAAGAGGAAAGGTACGACTAATGTACGGTTTATAAAGGTAGGAAAGAAGTTGTCATCTATACTTCAACAATAGAATGGGCAAAAATTTCCTTTTTGTTTTAAAAAAAAAAAAAAAGATTTTTTTTGGGGGGGTAGAAATGTAGTACATAACCAGTGTTGGTTTAGGACATCTGTGAGCCAGACACCCAGCATACCAGAAGAGTAAAGTTAGCAGTGTAGCCATTTTGATATGGACCATGCCAAAAAGAACCACTGACACTGGTATAAATAGGACTGGTAGCCAAAAACAAACATCCACTGACCATTCTAAAATTATTTGCCAGGGAGTGGGCACAAAGAGATACAGATGTCATGGATGCATCCCACGGATACTTACCAGCAGGATTTCAAAGACTTCTCTTTTCAAGAATCCAAAGTCATTGGCGAGAAATAGGAAAGGGGGGAGCAAAGAGTAAAAAACAGTGCATCTTGGGCCCCAAATAGGCCAATGATCTTTCCTAAAAATTTATAGGCTTAGAAAACAATTCCTGTGGTTATATATTTAAAAAAAAATTTACTAAAAATTAACAAAATCAGTTATATGTTCACTGCACAAGAAAATCTATTCAAGTTTTTTTTATAATTATTGTCAGGCAATTTTAGAAATTTTATCTTTACTGATGAAAGCTGATTTGAAATTTTTTTCATTAAATTTCAGGTAGTTTTTTTTGGAAAACTTTTTTTTTTTTTTTTTTTTTTTTTCACATTTTCTTTTTTTTTTTTTTTTTTTTTTTTTTGTTAAATAACTACAGAAATCATTTTACATGTTCCAAGTGTATAGGAAATTTTATCAGCTGTCTTGCAGGGTTAGGGATGCTGTTTTGCCAACAGTAAGAAAAAAGAGGGCGGCAATGAAAATAAATATCTTAATAAATAATAAAAATATAACTTTCTTTCCAACAGAATTGCTGGATGGAGTGAAGGACAAAATAGCCAAGTGGTGGGTTCAGAACCTTAGCACCATCCAAGTCCAGATTCAAAATATTTTGTACATCAACAGCAGAAACAAATTGTCAAACATTTATCCTCAGAATTCCAAAATTTAATGAGAGGAGGAGACAAAATTTGCATAATGAGAAGGAAACAGCAAGAGTGTGGTCTAATCCAAGGATAAAATGGGAGAAGACCTCCCCACTCCTCAGTGTGCCGTTAGTCAAGGTAGGAGGTGTGTATAAGGCTGCTATTAAACTAGATGAATTTAAAAAGATGAATGTAGAGAAATAGTAATGGTTACTTAGTGAGGAGAAAATGAGAGTAACAGCCAGTATTTTTTTTTGCTTTTTTTTTTTTTAAAAATCATTTGCAGACATTTACAAGAACTCCGTAAAGAGCTAGAGTTGTTTCATAACACTCAAGCTGTGTGTATGTGTTTGGTTATTCAAATGTTCCCATTAAGCAAATCAGTATAGTCCAAAAAAGATTTTTTTGCTTTTATCTGGAGGGATGGCTTTAGGGAGAGGAAGAGGCACTCTAAAAGCTACTTATTTGCAAGTAGAAAGAGTTTTTTGGGAAAAAAAAAACAAAACAAAATTAAAAAATAAAATAAAAATTATGTCTCGCAATGACAAAGATGAACATTTTTTTATATATATATATATATATATATATATATATATAAGCAGTCAATTGCTGATACTTCCTGACAAGTGGACGGACAGGTCCGTCTACAAAACTTTGGGATGCTGAAGGTAACATCAATCAGCTAAGTGACAAACTATATATATATATATATATATATATATATATATATATATATATATATAAAAATTGGATGATGACTTAGACCACTCAATTTTCTGGACCAATTCAGTTCAGGAATTGCAAGTTTGAACTGTCTCATGTCCAGCTATGTTGATCAGAAAATATGAGAAGGGAGAGATAAAAAAAAAAAAAAAAAATCCGCATGGACTCACACAAAATTAAACTTATTACTGAATTCCCAATCGCATGAAGGTGAATAGGAAAGGCTGAAAATAAATGGAATGGCGATATTTCAGACTGTCATGTTGAGAGCACAGCTGGAGCTGGGTGCCATTGCATCCCCCCCCCTGCCATCCAGCCATTTTACACTCTGCAGTTCTCCAACGTTGCCTAAGTTACCAGTCAACAGGAACAGACAATCAGAGTAGAAGTAATAACAATATGTTCAAAAGGCTAAACTAGCCTCAGCAACAAGTTCAACAGAGTCAATTGTTTTTTTGTTTTTTTTTTGTCTTTCTTTTTTTTTGTCTTTTTTTTTTTTTTTTTTTTTTTAAAATGTTTTTGTGTTCCAGACAGTGGCTACAAACCAGTTGTAGATCCAAGAGAACCGAATTTTGGGTCCAAGAGGAGAAGAGTTGGGGCCGATTTGTAACATCACAGAAGAAATACAATGCAAGGCAGAACCACCATCACAGTTATGAGCTGCCACACTTATAGCCATGCAATACGGAAACACTGGGTAGGGACAAACAGAGCCTGCTGCACATGCATGCACTGACAGATGCAATCTGGAATATCATCCAACTTGCAGTTTTGTCAAATACAAACTGAAGAGACAGGGGTGGGGAATAGAGTTGTCAATTGACGTGTCAGGTTAAAAATAGCCCCTTCCTGCACATCACAATTGGCAGAAAAGAATAAATAAAATTTTATACACTTATTGAAAAGTTATGATTTGAAGTCAGCTATGAATGATAATGTGTATGTTTAGGATGTTTGTCTAATTGATAATGGAGATTAAAATAAGAATTTTTTGCAATAAACCTAGGAAACAAATAAGGTTGAGCTTGAGAAACATGGCCAGTCCCCCAAATTTAAAAAAACAAAAAATAAATAAATAAAAAATTCTGCCCATGCTCCTTGCGTTTTTAACAACCAGTGATTTTTAGAGTATGCACTCGGGTAAAAAACAGGCTATCTTCCTTAAAATATTAAAGCATGTATGTATAAAGCTGGTGTTCATTGGTTTAAAAAAGAAACACAGAAACCAAATGTATCACTTTATAATCAAGTGAATTAAAAAGAAAAAAAAAGGGAAAAAAAAGCTACACTTGCACATGGATCTCACACTATTGATAGCCATCACCACCACCACCACCATTATCATCATGATGATGATAATAATCAGTGCAAGAATGATCATCATTCAATGTAGCAAGCTGGGTGCAGATATTTTAATGAAAATTTTGTCCAGATGAGAACAAAAAGAAAATGCTATACTGATCATGTATTAGGCTAATGAGAAAAAAAAAATGTGTTTCTAGTGTTAAAACAGGAGAGTTATGCTATATCCTGGTTGACTAGAAAAACATTACTACACCAGACAGTCAGGCCGAGTACGTCTGAATAATTATGTATAAAGGGAATGAGAAAGAGACGACCACAAATTAGGCAAATCAAGGAAATTTAAAAAAGGCTATAAAACAAAGTATATGCAGTGGCTAACAGAATTGAGAAGGAATTTTGCAGAAGGCTCTCTCTCTCTCTTCAATAAGACATGCAAAGTAATATCCAGAAGCTAGAGCGAACCTCTTTTTTTCCACAATTATACACTCTTTTATATTATGTCACTTCCTCCCCCTCCAAACAAAATAAAATACATAGGTACACACTGCATTGACAACCTTCTTCCATGTTTTATGTAAAACGGGGGGGGGGTGGAAATGACATGAAAATGAATTTTGTTTTGGAGTAAGAAATAGGAATTTAAGTATTTTCAGGTTGGGGGATGTTTGAATGAGAGAAAAGTGAAAAAAAAGTGATTCATTAGGGTAGAGGGGAAATAAGCAGCAAGTTAAATGCATGCAACAGGCTTTGTGACAACAACAAGACCAATGGCAGCAGTGGTGTGGGAAGGATCCTGCATACATGTATTTTCAAGTAAACACCCAACAGAACTGAGATTTGAATACCAAGCATGTCTGGCCGTGTGCCGTCAGGTTATGTCGGACTGTGACTATCATGTATGTCAGTATAGCGGGTGCCGGACATGCTCACAAGTGTGACTATATCAGTCCCAGCCTTCATTCAGCCACAGCTTTGTCTTCATAGTTCAAATGATATTGACCTGCAAAAGAAAAAAAAAATACAAAACATTTATATATTAAAAATAACTCCATGTTTATTTTCAATTTACTTTCAAATATATGAATGAAATCCAAATACTACTTTAGTTAATGCACATTTGCCAAGCACAAGATAAAAAAGAATAAATTCTCAAAGGATAAACATCAATATAAGTAAATAAAATTTAAAAGTATAATGTAATTATAAAATCAATGTTACACTGGTTTTAGACAAAGAAAAAAAAATTTAGATTTATCAATTGTTATTTAAGTACCTCCAAAACTTCACTAAAAATGATAAAAATGTCCGAAACGAAACAATTGTCAAAATATTATTATTATGGGGAAGAATCAAAGGATTTATTGATATCTACAATAATAAAAAAAAAAAAAAAAAAAAAAAAAAAAGAAAAAGTCATTTAGAACCTTGGAAATTTTGATTATAAATCTTGCTTTTTGCATCAATGCAAAACCTTAAATTCATTGTGGAATTTGAGCATCTTTTTGCATTGAAAAAACACACCGATTGGAAATTCTTTGAAAAATTAGATAACCATGGCAAAAAAAACAAAAAAAAAAAAAAAACAAAAAAAAACAAAGAGATAACCATTTCGTTTTATGAAATTTCTAGGAATTCTTTTGGTCAAATGACATCCAGTTGCAGAAAATCTGCACTAATCATGGAAAAAAAAAAAAAAAAAAAAAAAAAAAAAGACATTTAATTAGAAAAGCTTTTAATTGCTTTTATGTATAAAATATATTATGGACACTAATGTCTTAAAAAAATAAAAAAAAATAAAAAAATTAAAAAAATAAAAAAAAAATATCTTTCAATGAATAATGAATTTTTACAAGAAAATTTTTTTTTTTTTTTTTTTTTTTAATTAGAAAAAGTTATAAACTTTTAAATATTAAAATCCTGTATTAATCTGCAGTGGCCATGTGATATTGTTATTAAATTAAAACTGTATCTACTCATCATAAATGAGGAAACTTATAATTCCAGTATTTTAAAATGAATTTTTGGGTGTGTATATAAATTTTTGTAAATACACACAACTATACACAACACTATCAGAAAATAAGAGATACCTATAATAAATTTAAAATTTGATAATTTTTCAAACATTTTCTCAAACATAAAGCCAAAATACTTAAAATTCAATAAAATACTAGAATGCTTAAATTTTTAAGAATACTGGATAGTTAAAAAAAAATACATAAAAAAGAAAGACATTCCCATTGTATTGATAAAGTAATTGTTTTCATTTCTGCCCACCCACCCCCTTAAATTTCCAAAACATCGGGATTTTTAATAAATCATTCAACATGTTTCAGTTCAGATTAATTAAACTTTAAATCAGCTAATCTTCAAATAAAGTTTCATAAACGCATTTCATTTTGTAAATATTTTAAAAATATAATTATCTTGTGTTGAAAGGTTTGTCAATATAGAGATTTTACTGATAAGTAAAAAAAAAAAAATCCATCAATTCAATTACAAATTGAAAGTATTTTGTTTATTGGAAATATTAAATTTAAACTATTAGCTTGAAATTAAAACTAATATAAAACCTTCAAAAAGATTTTTTATTTTTAAAATGCATCTTAAACTTAGCAATTTCTGCTTCTTGTTTTTTGGAGGTACCTCCTCAAATTTTATAACTTAAAATTTTACAAGTTATAACTTGGTTTTCTTGACAAGCCAATTTAGCACAAATTAGAAGACCTAACGAAAAGTGAACACATTTATCTTATAAAATATTTTAAATGAATACCTTACACTGAAAACTTAAAAACTGACACAATATACTGCTTTAACAACTTTTAGTTTTAATTGTGGAAAGAAAAAAGCAGAAGAAAATAGGCATAAATTTTTTTAGATAAAAATAAATTGTAAATTATTCAAATATTTGAAAATTCATTTAAATTCTTGTTTTATTCTTTGCACTCAAGTTAAGCAAAACAACACTTGAAAAGTGAATAATAATAATTTTAAAGTAAAAATTCAGCAAAACTAGTTTTGTTTGTTTACAAGACAATGACACTTTTCTACCTTGGATTGGAATCAGTTATACATTTTGGCCAAGAGACTGGCACAAAAATATTCAGCAGAAACAAATTAGGAGGGGGAGGTGGAATATATATATATATATATATATATATATATATATAGAGAGAGAGAGAGAGAACTTGTCTTGCTAGATCAATTACGACTGAGTAGTGAGTTGATCCATACTTTGGCCTTGTTCCACATCTAAGCTGGGCTTAGAAAATCACTATACACACACATATATATATATATATATATATATATATATATATATATATATATATACACACACACACACACATACATACACACAAGTATGGGATTGGTGTTTACAGAATAAATTCCAATAAAATAAGCGTTTCCATTTTGAGTCACTGTTATATTAAAAAGGCATAAGCTTTTTTTTTAGCATCTTATAATTCAGGTTTCCGCCTTAGCATATACTTTACATTCTGCTAATACCTCATAAATAAAGGACTATTAGGGGTGGGGTGATAAGTGGAGGGGAGAAAGGGGAGGGACGAGATTATATATATATATATATATATATAATAATTTTGTTACCGTTAAGCTCAAATATTGAATGATGGAATAGGTCAATATTTATGTATATTTTATTAAATTGCTTTGAATTTATTCAATCATTAATTTAAGAATTAAGATTCATCAGGAAATTCAAATAAAACTATGAAATTTTCATGAGTATTTCTAGTGAAACGCTATTGAGCAAAAATGCAATTTGTGTAATGCCAAGAATAATCAACCAATCAGATATCATTGAGCGTCTAAAAACCCTAAAGGGAACAAATTAATTAAAATAGTTCACTGCCTCAATTTTTGGTGGTGAATTCTTGAGCTGTTTGTATCTCTCAATGTTAAAATGTTCTAACAGTGGGCATCATTTTTGATGACACAGGTACACACTAGTGCTTTAATAACACAGCAGCAAGAGGGTTTTAATCAGGATCATTCACTTACCTGTCATAGATTCCATGGTGTTCTCCTTACAGTCAACAGCCAAGTGATTTGCACCTCCACAATTATAACATGTTTGTATTAATGGCTTATGTTTGTTACTAACAGCTGTCATGGTATGATGCAGTGGTGGCACCAAGAGAGGGTGCTGCTGGTGTGGAGGAGGTGGCCCACCATAGTTGCACATGGGATTTAGTACACAGGGCGGGTTTGGGGCGGACGACGATGGTGGTGGGGCTGTCACTTGAGAAGAGTTCAAATGCACAAGGCCGACATTGGGATGGTTACTATAGATAAAGTCAGGATTAGGGCCATTGGGCAGATATGGAGTAAGATTTGGAAAAGGTATCAATCCATTGGCATTGGGAAACATGTAAGCCGGTGGGTGCTGCCACTGACGAGGGGGTGGGGTGTTGGCCGGAGCAGTCATTTGAGAGGTCAGCATGCTCCCAAAATGGTATGAGCCAGAAGTACAATGGCCTTCACAGCCACATGAATTGCATCTCCGCGATCGACCCATAGCTGCAGGACTGGGCGAGTTCATGGAGTATGCTTGAGAAGAATAAGTAACGGTAGTGGTAGTGACACTGCTTTGGTTAGTGCACTGACTATGATAATTCATTGGTGGTGGCTGCCCACCTGTCTGATCTGATGAGCAGGACAACACCGATATACTGCACGGATCCCCAGGATTGCCAGAAGGAAGTAGTGGCTGAGAGACTACTGAATTTGAACACAATGGGCCATTGCCATTTTTAACATTACCAATTGCATGTCTTGGTGGTGGACTGGAAGCAGAGGGACAGGTTGAAACCATTGTGTTACTTGTGCAAACGGCAGCCGGAGCTGTTCGAGTGCATGACTGATTCACTGTAGCAGTCCTTGTTCGTACCCCCGAAGAAGTTAAGTGAGGAGAAAACATTGGACCACCACTTCCCACTGCACTGTCCCCAGGGCCTGCAGTATTAACCATCATAGGCACCACTGTTGTGTTGCAGTCTACAGAGTTAGGCATCCCAGGAAATAAAGGCACCATTGTACTACTCGACTTGCCATCTAGGGGCATGTTGATCATATTTTTGGGGTGAATTCCTAGGTTTGTGTGTGCAGGCTGAGCATTATAGGCTGACCGGCTGGGAATCATCTGTTGGCGATGAGGTAGCAAATCAGGGGCAGCACCATAGTTTCCCATGGGGAGTTGCTGTTGAAGGTCCATATAATGATGGGAGACTGGTAAATGCATGTTTCCACCTTTTGACTGCTCTTCAGGCTGGGGTCTCATCACTGACGACTTCGATCCCATCTGCTGCGACAATTTTAGATTTGGTTTTTGTGAGTCTTTTTTTCGGAAGTCTTGCTCCAATGAAGGATCCCCATCTTTGCCATTTTTTACTATATAAAAAAAAAAAAAAAAAAAAAAAAAAGATACATACGAGTAAGCACATGTAGAAATAAAACGAAAAATATAGACGAGAAAGAAAAAGACTTCAAAAGGAAAAAAAGAAAAAAAAAAAAAAAAAGAGTGGCATCATAAATTTTTCTGTGGATGTTTCTAGTTAGATTGCTTTCCTTGTATTGCAAATAAATTCAATTTCCATTGTTATATTTTTGGGCAAAGTTTAACATACATAGCCACCAAAATACAGTATATCAAAAGATCTTTTTTTTCTTTTATTAATCGACACTGCTATTACTGTATACTGTAATTTTTACTGTTTTAAAAGGCTATATTTTAGAATTGATAAAGCCTAAAACATGTTCTATTTGATAAAGCCTAAAACATGTTCTATGAATTCTCTTTTCTCAAGAATTGGAAATACAAGATAGAAATTTTTAAAATGATAAACACAAAATTTAATCACCTCCCAAGGTAGTTAATTGAAAATGAAAATATTTTTAAAAAGACTAAAACTTGATGGCAAATAGAATGTGCTAATATTCATATAAAAAATGAATCCATGAAGTACAATTTTTAAAGCATGTTAAAAGCTACTCTGAGCTTGAAAATTAAGATCATTTCCATGTAAAATTATTCATGGGGATTTAACAAAAATAAAGTTGAGATTTTTATAAAAATTGCAGTAAAATTTAAGTAATGTTTTTTAGTTTTATTTATTTTTAAGGCATTGATATTTTAGCTTTTTTATTATTATTTATTTCTTAAACATTTTAATGGTGATTTTTATTTTGCTACAAACAATTTGATTTCCAGGGAAAAAAAAAAAAAAAAAAAAAAATTTTCCAGGACAATTCTAGAACAATGAGGAAAAATTGTCTGGAATCCTGATGTGTATTATTCTTTGTATCTCTGCAAGTGTTTAACTCTCAAAATGTTCATGTAAATTAATTGTCTCTTAAAAATTAATTTATATAATACATTAATATATACAATTTTTAATATCCACTCAAAAAAGTTTTTTTTAAAGACTTTAGAATATTTTCATTTTCAATTAACTGCCTTGGGATGTGATTACATCAAGTTAAATATCTCAAGCATTAAAAGACAACACCACACTACACACACACTACACATGCACGCACGCAACACTACACACGCACGCAACTGCAATGAACCATACATATGTCAACACAAAAAAAACAGCATAGAATTTAAAAATGCCAACATTTCTGATGATGCTAAATAAACAAAACCTTTTAAATTCATAAAGATTTTCCTACACATTTGTTATTTAAACATTTTGTACTGAATAAAAACCTGTAGGATACATGATTGCCATATTTTTTAAGTTAGAAATTTTATAATTTTTAGCCTGCAAATAACTGGCCAATTAAAACATGAAAAATTTGACACTTTAAAAGCAGACGACAATTCTTACCTCTGTCACTGTCATCAGAAGCTACAGAAGATGATGATGCAGTTACAGCTACCATAGCAACATTAGCATTGCTGGGAGGTCCTGGACTGGGAGGCTGACTACAATAGTCAGATCCACCTGGTGAACTATCAGCATTGTTTGGTGGTCCTGGTGTCGCTGCTGTAGGTTGTGAGTAACAACAAAGACCCGTTGACATGTTCCCTAGAGGTAAAGACGAAGGCGCTATCCCAGAATGTGATGGAGGACCTTGTTGTTGCTGCCCAGCAGCTGCTGCTGCTGCTGCTGCTGCCACATTTGCAAAATAATGAGGCTTCAATGCGGCTGGGACTGAATGTTGCTGCCAGGTTAAGCCATGTAGGATACTCACACTAGCCGGGTTACCAATCATACTATAATCAATCATTCCATTTGGAGGACGTTTGTCTCTGAAAGAACAACAAAAGTTTTTTTTTTTACACTAACATTTGCAACAGAAACAATTTTATTACATACTAGCAGTATAACCAGTCTTCGACAAGGTCTTTCATTACTGGGAATTTTTACTGTTCAGTTGGAGCAGTTTAAAGTCAGCCCACCCAAAAATCAATATTAGTAACAACAATTGGGTGCAACTGAGGCACATCCCCAAATGGGGGGAGGGGGAGGTTATCTATCTGAATGAGGGGTGGCCCTGAAAAGGGCAGTTTTTGCATTCTCAATCTTGTTTCAGCCTTACATACAGCAGCATTTGAAGAGGCATTTCTCCTCAGCTGTTGAGTCCTTTGATCAGCAGTTTCAGCCTCGCATGCAGAAGCGTTCAGGTATGCTCTTCTGGAAAGCTGATAGCTACATTGAACTTTGGACTCAGTGGCTTGATTGAGGCATTTTGAGACAGGCAAATTGAATGTTCTAAAGACGATTCTTTATCTTATTTGCATGGCGGACCTAGTGGCAGTGGTTTTGTAATCTAGGCAAGTTCTTTTCTTTGGTGGCATGCCTTAGGCAAGTATGTATTGTCAAATAGAATGTGTGGGCAAATACCAGAAGAGGACAATGAAAAGCTACAGGAATTACTAAGCTCGAATAACTTTAGTAAAGGTTGGGGAAAGAGAAGGGGAATGTGTAATTTAGACTCAAAACCGGCACTGGAGAATTATCCATCAAACAAAAAAAAAAAAAAAGAAAAATTATTTATGACTCAACCGAATAGTTATTCCATTCCATTTTGGTCAAGTGGGTGGCTGCTTTGAAGATCATATGTCTGGGCAGAAAACAACTCCTTTCTGATAGATGACAACAGAAATACCTTCAATTCTAACTGTGACTATTTATGTAAGTCAGTTCCTGAATTTGGTTAGTCTATTTAAAGTTGCTTCCCTGTGCCTTTTCTATAAATACTTTCATGGTAATTGTTCAGATCAGCTCTTCGCTATGGTATCTACATTTTATGAATTTAAGTGCAGTACAAGACTGGCAACAGGTAAGTTGGCTAGATGTAACCATAAGTTCTATACTAACAATTCCTTTTCTCACACTTCCCACTTGTGGCACTATTCCAGCTCCATGCTTTCCAGTCAGCTGTAATCTTTGAAAATTTAAATGCAATTTCAAATCGCTATCTACAGTCTTCCTGATTACTAAGGAGCAAGTACAATAGAAGAGCAATGTTTCTTTTTTATAATTCTACACCCAGTAACCCCTTGTGTCTTAGTAGCTTTACTACCTTGCTTCGAGTGAATTTAAAAAATAAATAAATAAATAAATAAATTCCCTTTTGGTCAAGTAGGTGACTGAAGATCTTACTTCACAGATTTTACTGCTGGCCATAAAGAAACAACTGACAAAATCAAGGTATGGTGAAATTTATTGTGGCATGATAGAAGCTGGCATTTTGAAGAGACTTTGTAAAATCACAGATACAATAATAGTAACGCTTTCGAACAGTACTCAGTCAAACGCCACTAATTCCCATACATATTTATTTTTCCTTTACCTGTCACATGATCTAATTACTTCTAGATGAGGTTGACTGTGCTTGCTCTCTGGCGATCAATGTTCAAACCCAGGTGTCAGCGACACTTTATTCCTATATGACATCTCCCCTTTGAAATGACTTCCTCTGGAGTCTATATTTTCTTCAGATTTAGTTCAACATTTAGAAATTCTGTTGCTATTCTTTTTCTCTTACCATAAAACCTTGGCTCAAAAATTTCTGATGGCATGGGTATGTCAAATGTGTCAAACAAAAAAAAAAGAAAAATTTCCATAGTTACCTCTTTTCAGGGACTTTTTAAATCAGTGAATCCCACCTTTGTCCCTGTATCATGTATGCCATTTTGCCAATCCAATTTTTTTGTAATGCCATCTTCACAGAATTCTTTTTCCACATTGATACATTTTAAAAAACACCTTATCTTCAGGTTTGAAGTATTTACTTACATTGTTATCACTTGATGCTCTCGCCTTACATTCTGGTAATAATTTATTAAAAACCGACAATCTTCCTGGCAGAAATCAACTCTACAGGCAACATTCCAGACATGGTGTTTTGGTTTGGTGTTATTCTGTAAACACTCAGAAATTGTTGTAGGATTACTTCATCTAACTCCTCTCAGGACTTTTTTAATGTCCTTTTAAACGTATTGACAAACCGTTCCACTTGACCGTTTAATCTTGGGTGATAAGAGGGTGTTGTAATATGTTCTATTGCTAATGATTTACAAAAAAAAAAAAACTTAAATTCACTAGACATGAATTGTGTTCCATCGTCTGAAAATATAGTCAGGAACACTGAACTTTGCAAAACCTTGTGTAGGAAATTTATCGCAGTAGTCAGTCTTATACATTTTAATATTTTTGGCCATTTAGTATAACTATCGACTACCACTAGATAGTATGTTCAGTTTAACAGTCCTAAGAAGTCTATATGTATTCTGGACCATGGCATATCAATTTCCAGCCAAGGTTGAATTTTGATAGGCAGTAATGTCACTGCCAGAGCACAACCACGGCATGATTTCACTAAATTTTCAATATCTTGATCTGTTTTTGGCCAATAAGTTTAACACCTCATTAAGGATTTAATTCTAGAAATTTCTAGATGCCCTGTGTGAAATTATTTTATCTTTTAGCATACATTTTTGCAATGATGCTGTATCACAATTCTCTTTGTCTACATAATGAAAATGCATTATTTCCAGTAATATTTTTTCCTTTAAATCTTAATGGCGTCTTCATTTTGATTATAAAGTAGTCTTTTTCCAACTTAATTCTTATTTCCTCCAAAGTTATGGGCAGTTCTCTGTATTGTATAATACATTATTAATTTCATTTTAGGCCCTTATCTCCATAATTACTGCATTAAGTGGTTTGCAGAATTTTGGTATTAGTGTCGATAATCTGTCTGCATGACAATTTTTGGGGGATGGTAGAAACTCCATTTGATAATTATAGTTCAATAGGATAGTTCCTCAGTGCTGCAGTCTATTCACTGTATGTGTAGGAACACCTTTTTTGATCCATATATAAACAATAATGGATGATGGTCTGTCTGTAGTATGAATTCTCTACCATGAATTCTCTACCATTTTTCATAGCAAATATGATTGCCAATGCTTCCTTTTCAATCTGGCTGTAGCTTTTTTCAGCTGCAATCAATGATCTTGAAGCATGGTTTAGTTTGTCCGTCCTCATATTTGTGTAGTATCACCACTCCAATACCTGAATCACTTGCATCTGATGCAATCACAATCTTTAATTTAGGGTCAAAATGACCTAGTAACAAATTTAACATTAAGACTTTCTTGATCCCTTCGAAAGCACTTTGAGATTTATCTGTCCAATTCCATTTCACATCTTTCTTTAGAAGGTTATTCAAGGGTGCTCTTATGTTTGGTATATATATGTGATAGTAATTAGCAAACCCTAAAAATGTTTGTAACTTTGTTGGAGCAAGCATGTCTTTTATTGTACTCGCCATTGAAGAATCCAGTCGTCTACCATTTTCATCAATAATTTGTCCTAGATATTTAAGTCTGGACATAAACAATTCACATTTTCCTTCACTGATCTTAAAATCATATTCTTTAATTCTCTCAAATACTTTTGGGTCTTACTTTTAATAAGTACATCATCTAAATATGCTTATGTACAATCCAAACCAGCAAGCATGGGATCCATAATCTGTTGGAACATGCTGGTGCTACCTTTATACCAAAAGGAAGTTGGTTAAATTTGCATAATCATTTCTGGGTGTTAACTGTTAATAGTTTTGAGCACTCTTCATCTACTAGTACTTGTATGTAAGCATCTGACAGGTCCAATTTAGAAAAAAATTTACCACCATTTAATTTGGCAAAAGTTTCCTCTGGATTTGGTAATGGGTAGTTATGTTTTAAACTTTCATTTAACTCTGTTGAAAAATTAGTACACACGCAGGATTTTATTATTTCTTCTTTTAACGTAAACTGTTAGTGATGCAATTTTAGAATAGTCTATTTTTGAGATCACACCTAATTTTTCTAGTTTGTCTAATTCCTTATTAATTGGTTCTAAAACTGCAAAAGGTACATTCCTTTTTAGCTTAAATGTCAGTGTTACATTCTCTTTTAATTCAAATTTAGCTTTAGTTTTTGTGCATGTCCCTAGACCTGAAAAAAAAAAAAAAAAAAAAAAAAACTTCTAGAAAACTTTTTCAATTCATTCTTTAATTTTTCATTGACGTATTAGTACTGGAGATAACAATATTTGTTTTGTTGCAAAAAGAGTTAATTGGAAGGTCCCAAAGATCAAATAATGCAATCCAGTCCATTTCAAATAAATTAGCAGTATATTTAATACAAACACCACTGCTTTCTTGGTTTTTCCAACAAAAGAATATGTTACAGGTGAATTCACCCAAAAAGTTCAATCTTTCCTGGAACTCCATCTTAGAAGTCAATAAACTGGGTTTACCCATTTTTCTCCATGTCTGTTCATTTATGATAGTGAGATCAGGTCCTGTATCCAGTTGTAATTTTATTTTTTATTCATTTCTACAAAACAAATTTCCTCTTTTGAGATGTTTCTAACTTAATTAAAGACATATTTGGTTAATTTTCCTTTTGTGCTTATCTTTTCTCCATGTATTCATCATGTTCACACACATTTTATTTTTCCTCCATTTTTTGTATCTGCAATATGTACTTTTGTGTTTTATTCTCCCACATTCATAGCATGTTTTGTTCTTGGAAAAAAAAAATACTTTTGCTTACCTCCACAACTGTGGCAAGTATTAGGTATTATTTTTTTTTTTTACTGTTCTGTTAGGAGTTGAAAAATATCTAGAGTCTTTTCTTTCAGATGGTCAGACACTATGTACTTGTGAAATGTCTTTTTCCTCAATCCTTGCAGTGTAGAGTTTCAGATTTACAATATGTTGACACTCTTTTGCTATTTTCTGGAGAGTTAATTTGGGATCCATTTCCAATTTAGCAAGTATCCTGGATCTTATTTCCGCATCCTTATTAGAAGTTAAACCCTGTACGAATATCAGGTATTTAAATAAATCCAGAGTTAATTCATTTAACTTGAACTTCTCACATTCTCAATTCATGACTCCTGCATAAGTGATAAAATCTTAATTGTCGCACTAGCCATCCTGTATTAAATAATGAACTCCCATCACCAAAGATTTTTTGACAATATTACAAGTTTCAACAAAATCTATCTCACCTGGTTTTTTTTGGCAAAATATAATTCAAATATTTTTCATGTTCAGCAGGAGACAATTTCCTTAATAATAAACAAACTTTTCTCCTATAATAAGCTGGAAAGTTATCCCTTCATCCTGATTGTATACAAATTTGCTGATTGAATTAGCAACAGCATCTGGAGTGAATGAATCTGAAGTCTTTCCTTCCATAGTTTTAGTAAATAATTCAACTGTTGTTGCTGCAATTATTGTTGTTCTTGTAGTTTTTGTTGCTGCAACTGTTCTTATTGTTAAATTTGTAGCAGCAACATTCGAATCCTGATAACTTTTAGTTCTTCCATTTTACTCGACTGAATATTTTGTAGATTAATTTTTGAATAACTTTGCCTGGTTATTTTTCTATAGTCCTGCAAATATGACATTTCTTTGGTGAAGTGGTAAAATATTACTGAATATCCTATTACAACGTGTAAGATAAGCATATTTTATTTTTTCCTTGTGCAAGCTCAACGAATACTCATCACTACTTTTGTAATGCCCATTTGTAGGAGAGACTTTGTAAATCACAGATAGAATAATAGTAATGCCTTCAAACAATACTTGGTCAGACGCCCGCTAATTCCCTTATATATGCATTTTTCCTTTACCTATCACGTGATCTAATTATTTCAAGATGAGGTTGACTGTGTTTGCTTTCTGGCGAACTGTGTTCAAATCAAAGTGTAGGCAGTGACACTTTATTCTTATATGACAGTTTCAATCTTAATTATTTCCATTGCTGTTTAATTTCAATATAGAAAGTTTGCACTTCTAATGTATTAGTGGTTTTATTATCTTGGAACAAAATGATTTTAATAATAAAAAAAAAAAAAAAAAAAAATTGTATATACAGAGTGCAGCAGAAATACCTCCCACATAAGAGGCAATGGGGTCTTCATCTAGCTAATGTCTTACCATTATGTGGGAGCTGTTCCTGCTGCACCCTGTGTAATGTACGTTAGGATCCATTTACTTATCCTCATATGGAGGGAGGATAGTGAACACAAACAAACTTACCGCCCATTCTTGTTATCTGGCACATGAATCTTTTCCTCGTCTACCTTCAGCTGAAAGAAGAAAAAAAAAACAAAAGAATTACAGCAATAACAAAAAAAAAAAATAAATAAATAAATATTACTGACTGGATGGTGAGAATAAAAATGAACATACCAAGTGGTCCAACTCGGTAGATTTTAGTTTATTGTTAGTTATGTAATTGCTATCAACACTGCCAGGTGATGCTGACCGGCTATTGGACTGCTGGAGTGGTGATGTATGTGATGAGGGTGCAGCTTGTGGAGGTGGTGATGAAGTTGGAGAGTAAATAGGAGAACTCTGGTTCATCTGGGGAGTGACCACTGATCTGTTGCTGCAAGTGCTGGAATGCAAACCATTTTGTTGAAAATAAATCATGACTGCAAAAACTAGTTAAAAAAAAAAGTAGCTAAAATTTAAGTTTTTAAGTCTTCATAATAAAATTAAAACTATTTTGAAGAGGAGGAGAAACCCAACATCGGGAAGAAAGCTCAGTGGACTTCTCATAGCATTGTTGAATTTTAGTTAATGACCTTGATAAATTATTTTTTACTTTATGGAAAGTAGTCAAACAAGATGCTTACTAAATATTTCTAAAACTAGTCAAGGAAAAGTTCAAAAGACTTAAAACCAACTTTAAGTTGGTTTCTGATAAACTGGTCCAGTCATTAAAAAAGAAAAAAGAAGAAGACATTCAATTGAATAGACCTTCCCAAGACCACAGAAGCAAACATTGATTTAGAGGATGTGTTCTATTTATATCAATAGTGTGACAGAGTTATTGGCCTTACAAAAAGATTTCTTAAACGGATATATTTTCTTTTAATTAAAGAATAAAAATGTACAATAAAATTATGTATTCATTTAAAATAAATAGTTATGAACCACAAATGTATGTTCATGCACACTGGGGGGTGGGGGGAGTAGGGAGAAGGTAAAGAAAATAAAATGTTCAAAAAAAAAAAAAAAAAAAAAAAAACTCAATGATATTAACACATTTTTTAAACTTAAAGTTACTTAACCTAAGGCCAATAACTCTGTAAAAGGAATTAATTTGACACTGTTTCAATATCATAAACAGGACCCAACCCCATCTAATTTGATAAATCAATTTTTTTATTACTCCGACAAGTGTCATGGCCCAAGAAAAGTCTAAAGAATGCTAATCTACAAAAATAATTTCCCAAAGTTTTCTCTATATGAGTGGACAAGTCTAAGTGGTGCTGAGATGCCTATTGAATTCATTAGGCAGATGATGCATAAGGAATGCTAGTCAGGTTCAAAACAAATGTCAAACTTGCTCTATGGTAAACATTATCATGTAACAACAATTAGTGTATTAAAAAAAAAAAAAATCGTCCTTATCTTGACTATTCTTGCTGTTCTGTTTTTTATATTGAAAAACTTGCTTTACACAAATCTGCTTGCCTTTAGATGCATCAAATTTCAGTGATTTATGGTTATTTTCCTGCATAATAGATTTGCTGTTACTTTTTTTTTAACAGACACATTGAGTTATTCTCAAAGTGAAAGGTGGCTGGCATTTGCCATGTCAAAGTCATTACAGGTTTTGACTTTAAAATGTCAAGAGTAAATTAGACAAAATAATTTAAATTTTGGAAAATTTTTATCAAAGTTTATCATGGTTAATATAAATAGAGATGGCATGTCAGTAATCTAATAAAAGAAACATAACTACTTACATAACATCTATACAGAAAGACAATAAAAAGAAAAAACCTTACTTGTGACTATTCGATGATAACTGTGAATAATGTGCGGTCAAGTAAATTGGTGATTGATAGGACTGTCGATTGTTGATGTCACCTGAAAGAAAACGATTTAAGAGTAGAGAAACAACAAACACTATCTAAATATACACAAAATTTTGAATGCTATTGAAGTAGCTCTCTTTTGTATTTTACTTTCAGCCAGTCGTGATGTATTACAGAAAGTAATATTGTTTATACTGGGATTTAATTTAAGTTTACATCTGAATTTTGAGAGAAGTTGAAATTCTAATTCACAATCAGAAGAAAAGAGGCCCAAGGCAAATAGACATGAAAACATATCTCAGAAGTTCCAGCCAACATTTTTTTGAAATTTTAACTCAAAAACTTAATACAGTTCAGCCATAACAGAGCACAAATTTAAAAAAACAAAAACAAAACATATTTGTCTACTTTCATAACATTATGGAAAGAAAGTAATTATTCTTTGTGCATCTTGATATAGTTGATAGACTAAAACTTTACTAGTGTGTGTGTGTGGTGCAAGTAAACATTATGAGTCTTTAAACAACTTAACAAAACTCACATTTTTCCCCAACATTCAGTAGTGTATGTGTGTGGGTGGAGAGAGAGAGACAGAAGCTACCCTCTGGCAAATTCAGTATAATCAGAAAATAGATATTATTTTAAAATCTACATTAAAATAACTTTGATGAAATGTTAAGACCGGGTCATAGAGGTGTACTAATTCAACTAAAACTTAAAAAAAATAAAAATAAAAATAAAAAAAAAATAAAAAAATAAAAGAAAATTATATAGGAAAACTGATGTAATAAAGAGATTGGAATTTTATTAAAATATTAAAAAAAAAAAAAAAAAATAAAATAAAATAAAATAAAATTTAAAAAAAATAAAGTACTTTACAATAATTAATCCCAGTTAAATTTTGTGATTTCTATATTTTGATGAAATGAAAGTTGACATTTTGTTTCAATCAGTACAGACAAGACAATTCCCCAGACAAACAATATTTCTCATTGACCTTGATGAAACCAATTTGTAAGGGGGAAGTTTATTTGAATACAATAAAAGACATAATGAGAGTAAAAAGTTTCTTTCATTACTAATAGGAACAGGCAATTGAGATTGTGCATAAAACAGAAGCCAACTACAGTAAAATGATAGAAAAAGCAACTTAGGGAAATTCTTGTAAAGAGCATTCTGATTAATTAAATTGTGATTCTTAAAGACACCACAAACAAAAATAATAAAAATGAAGCTCAAGAATTGCAGGATTCAAACAAATTTTATACCTTTAACAATATATTAAAAATGTCAAATCATCTACGAAATTAATGTGATTTTTTAAAGGAAAACAAAGCTTCTAAATAGAAGTCCTCTTCAATAGAAAAGAAAAATAAATTCACCAGATATAAGTGCATTTATTCTTTAAATTTACAATGTTCAAAAGTTTCCATCATTAGTTTAATAAAGGTTCAAAGTCAGTTGTAAGAATTGTCAAAAATCTTTTTTTAAGTGAAACAACTGAATTCAATTTTAGTTCTCACCTGAGGGTGATGCAGTGTTGAAAGACTTTTGATAGCATTGAGATATCACAGTTTGTTCATTGTCTATAAAGAAAATATTAAATGGCTTTAAAGAACAGTTTAAATAAATGATGAAATTCAGAAAAAAAAATAAAAAATAAAAAATAACTCCAACTTATAAAAGTCATAATTTTAAGTAGACAACAATGAGAGATTAGTCAACAGTTAAATAACTTCCACAAATTTTGCTTTAAATTGAATTTATTCAAGTCTCACAATAGATTTTGGTGTTGACCATATCAACCTAATTTTTTCCCCCTTTATTAATTTTGTTCAAATTTATACAAACAAAGGCAAAGTACAATTATTTAATATAGCATTATTATATTTCTAGAATACAGAATGAATTGCTAGATTGCACTGAAAAACAAATGCTACTTATGAAAGAAAGATTTTAGTTTTATTTAATTTAGTCTAAGTTTTTTGAAATTTAGTACATTTTCAAAATTATAATCTTTCAGATATTTAGTGACAGAATTTTTTTTTAGTTTTAAAAACATTTGCCAATTTTCTGTAAGCACACATGCATACAAACACAAAATGCAAAGATTGTTTAATGCAGATTCATGATAATCTTTACTATTTGTAAAAATAAAGTTGAATTAACAAAAAGTGGGGATGGGGAGTTACTTACTTGGGGTAAAATTTGTTGACCGGGAAGGAGAAGAACGACTGGACTCTGGTGCAGTGAAAAAATTTACTAAATGATCACATTCTAAAAGCCTTTGAGGAAGTTTTTCCAATTGCCTGAGAAAGAAAAAGAAAAAAAAAACATGAAACAAAGAGAGCAAGTTTAAAAACAAATAAATAAACAAGATAAACACATGCTAATTTTAAATGCTTCTGTAAGCCATTTGGATAATTAAAGATTTTGAAATTAAATCATTCCAATATCTTTGAGAGGTAACAGAGAGGAAAACAAAACTGTTTACAAACAGGCAAACAATATAAATGGTATTTCAAAAACCAACAAAAAATTTGCATCTTCTGAAATGGCAGTGAATTATGGACAATTTCTTCTCTCAGATGAACAGGAAACTTGAGGCAACAGAGATGAGGTTCTACAGATGAATGCTGTGCATATTGTGGACAGAACATATGAGCAACAAAGAAGTTTTTAAAGAAGACAGATAATTAGAATCAGAAAGGGGCAGTTGAAATTTATGTGTGGAGAGTGAGTGGCCATGATTAAATGTAAATAAATGGCAGAACTGTCCAACAAACAGAATCGACAAAGTTTGCAATCAAAAATATATGCAAGGTAAATTAACAGTGATAAGGCAAAGCAACAGCATTATGGCAAAAGTCTACAAACTAAGAATTGGGGTTGATACACAGAGCAAATTTGGATAAACAAACGATATGTTCTGAATTTAAGACAAGACAGATCAGGATAGAGTCATATGAAACCAAGAACTGGCCTTTTTTATTGACTAGGAAGAAATCCCAGCATACATTTGTGTGGTTCTACCTATAAATTGGAAAGGGGGTGTTTTGCAGTCATTCCTAACCATTATTGGAACCATCAATGGGGGGGGGAAGGGCTTTGAGAATTTGACATTCAGAACATATTGAAGTGACAAAAGGAAACAGTGAGTAACCTACCTAACATGATTGAATAAATCTGTGTCAAAACAGGGAATGGAAGGGATAATAAAAAGACAAACACTGCTAAGAGCGACAAAGGATAGAAGTCATGAAGAGCCATGATTGCCCTTGAAGGGACATAGCCCACTGAAGAAGCCAAATCTCTGTCACATTGCAAGCAAGATTTTACACATGTTATGATGGTAAAAATAAACATTGTAAAAACTGCTTTTTCATCTTGACTTAAATACCATTAAGTTACTAATGATCTAAAGTGATTCATGAAAAAATCTCATCAATGACTGATGCAATGTATATTTATTAAAAAAAGAAAAAAAAAAAAAAGTGTCATTTCTCTGCAGGGACATTAAAAACACTTACCCAGTATAATGGCAAATATTCTGGAAACTGACATCCTCTAAAATTTCTTCTCGGTACTGACCTGTAAATGTAGATGAATAATGAAAACATTAAAATGAAAACCACAATTGTTAAGATGACAATACTCTTGTAATATTGAGGTTTTAAAAGGAGTTTTTGACAATTTTTTTTTTTTTACCTAATTTGACAATTGTATAAAAGGTTAAACTTTATGATTTGGTGTTAATATAAAATTCATGAATTTAGTTTGCACATTTCTCATAATGAAGAAATTATATATAAATTATTAATATTTTGCAAAGATAATCTTGTAAATAAAAAAATGACATAAAAATTAAGGATTTTTCTTTTAATCAATTGTAGAGTTAAAAATTTAATTATTTGGGCAAAAGTCTTCAAGGAAAATATTGGCATAAAATATAAGTAACTAGCTTCCTTTTGAAAGCTTAAAAAAAAAAATATTGAACAGTTTAAGGAACTTTCAAGAATCAAAAATATATTTCAAAATGAAAATTTATCACAACAAATTTTGAATCAGAAAGGGGTAGTTGAAATTTATGGTGAGAATAATTTGAAGAAAAAAAAAAAAAAAAAAAAAAATTCTTTTTTTCTTGTAGTCTGGGTTATAATAAAAACGTTAAGAACTATTTCACATTCTGTTCTATAGGCAGGTAAAACAAATTTTTCACAGACTATCACCGTTCTGAACCCACAAACACGTCTTAGAAAAATATCACTTTTTAGTATTCTTTTTAAGACAATAGTTTGTTTCAGTTATAAAACGTGTTAAAAGCTATATATTTTATGCATATATAAATAAATAAAAAAAAAAGAAAATTGTTTTTGATTTATCAACCCTTTGTGGTTTATTAAAAGACAAAACATTTTAGATTGTAAGATTTTTTTTTTTTACATTAAGGTTTAAGAAAATTAAAATTTTCCAGATACAAGACCTACTATTTAATCTATAGCTGGGGGGAAGAAATTGATTCATACCTTCCCCAAAGTTATTTGCATGTAAGTGAATGTAACAAACTAGTATTTTCAATTTCTCATCCTGAACCACTACCCATTTCACAACTTGCACATTGCCAAAAAAAAAAAAAAAAAAAAGTCTCCTTCCATGACTTTATTTTATGGGTGAGGGGGGGGGGATAATGGAGTAAACTATAAGCAATGCAATTTTAAATTTTCATAACTATTAAACATTTTATTATTTTTATTGGTTCCTCAATCCTTAAAGCCAAAAATCCTTAAATTTATGACAATATATTTTGTTAAATTTCATTAGGGAGTGATTTTGGGGCACATTTAAGGAATAAAGTCGTTTTTGTAAGATCTCATTCAAATTTAATGTATTTGCTTTAGTTTCCTTCCTGGACAAGAGAGATTGTCAAGGAAAATAATTTTCAATTAGTTAAGAAACTCAACTTACCTTGTAGGGATGGGATTTTTCTTTCCGATTTGTGCATATCGTCAAACATTCTGACAAACTAAGGAAGAGAGCAAATAAAATCAATTTCTGGAAACAGCAAAATATTCAGGGAAGCAATTTACAATATTTTTTTTTATTTTGAAACTGGTTACTCGAGTCCAAAACTTAAAAAGAGTTGAATTTTTCACAGTTGAAATATATAAATTTTTTGTGTTTCGTTTTTAAATAAAGATGAATATTCAGTTTTATCTTTAGTTAATTTAGTATCAAGCAAAAAGACGAAGAATTTAATGAAACAAGAACCAGACTAAAAATATCTGAATTTTTCAAGTTAAATATTAGAAACTAAAATTATTCTGTAACAATCTGGTTGTATCAATACACGCTGCGATGGATAAATTGTCGTCTAAATTGTGTGCAAAAGTAAAAATAACACTGACATTTCATTTTAACAGATATATTTACCAAAATGACACAAAAATATCTTGATATACTAAAAAGTAAATATATTCAATTAAATGGCCATTGGCTTCAACCACAGCCTCCAGATGACTTTGGAATTTGCTACAACTCTTCTGCACATTCTCCTTGTTTAAGTTGGTGAATGCTGCGATAATCCTTGCCTTCAATTTATTTTTGGTGTTACAAGGAGTTTTGTTAGTCTCTCACTCAACTGCGTACCACACATAATAATCAAGGGAGTTACAGTCTTGGGAGTTAGGTGGTCATATGTAAGGATTGATGTGGTCATAGAAATTGTCTGACAGCCATGACCGAGTTCTGCGTGTGTGCAAAGTCCTGTTGCCAGACATAGGGTCCTCCAGCAGTCACCCTCCTGACCCACTACCTCCTCAAGGCACTTGATGTAGGCCTCCGTGTAGAGTCTGAGGACCTGTGGGAATATGAATGGAGGCATAATGTCACCATCACAAGTGATCATCCCAAACACCTTAATGACTATTAGACTCATCCAACTCTTTCCAAATCCTCTGCATTCTCCTCAGATTGACACAAAAACACTGAAATGTTCGTATTGGAGTTTCCAGCACAAATGCCAAGCAGTCCAGCATGCCGCTTCCAAACAATGCGCATCCATGAAATAATACAAAATTGCGACAATTTACCCATCGCACCCTGTAAGTAAATCAAGTCAGTGAAATCAATTACAGTTCTAAGAAAGTGACAGTGATTCTTTAGACTCACTCACAGATTATAAACATTTGTCAATTATTATCATTTGTTATTTTATTATTTTAACTATCTTCTCAGCAAGTGTCTTTCCAAATATTTATACAATTAACAAGTTGTTCAAGAGTGCACAGAGAATGTCTGTGACAAGAGTGTAAAATAACTAGGGCCATCCTTTCATAGGAATTAACATCGTCAAGTATTTTTGTTGTCTAGGTAATGTAGGAATTGAGCACTTTTAGTGAGCAGAAGTGTTTAGGTTTTTTTTTACTTAAACTGTCCTTGTTAGAGATTTTATCTTGTTTAAGGGTATTTAGGTCTTTGGGAAAGTTGACCATTGACTTCACCAATGATTTTGACATACATATATATATATATATATATATATATATATATATATATATATAAAATGGTCTTTGCACATAAGTGAATGTAATGAACGTGACTAGAATTCAGACTCTGCTCTCCAATTTCTCAATCTGAGCCACTATTCATTACTACAAACATTCAAAATAAATAGTTAAATACAAGGACAGATTGGGGCCTACAGTTTTGGTTGGTAACCAATCTAGGAGGAGAAGTTTGAATTCAAGACCTGAGGAGGGTCATTTGGAGATGTGACACAATGTGCACCAGTTCTCTGTATTTGGTTCTTCAGAGTGTGGTTTGTTCTGCATAAGCCTTCACCTCTATAATAAATCATGTGTGCTGGAAGTCTGACTGTAGTCTTATCCATTGGGAACGACAAGAGACTCAAGTATATATCTCAAGAATTTATCAATAACATGCTTGCAAGAAATAAGTTATGACTGTTACAAGTTACTACTACCAAGATTGGTCTATATGACTTCAATGCTTTCCATCAAAACATATGTTCCTTTTCAGGATGCAAGCAAAAAAAAAAAATTCAGAAAAAATAAAATAAAAAAAAATACAAACAGCTGTCACTTTTTCACACTGCAAACTTGAGAGATGGTGTTTTTGAGATGTTTATGGATTTCAAGAACACCTTGTTTCTTATTTTAATAATACCACCTTTAAAATAAAACTTTTCACTCATTGTATTAAATAGTGTTTTAATAAAACATTTTCAGATTGTAAAAAGGAAAAATATAAAATATTTAGATTATTAAAATGGTCAACATGAAATGATTGTGTTTAAAAGTCGACATGATTTTCAAGAAATGCTTTTGAAATACTGGGTTACCCCCCAAAAGTTTGTTTTTATTGTTAGATGGCATGAGGAGTGTTTAGTTTTAAACTACACTGGATTATGACAGCTGTCATGTCTGTATGCACATATAACACACAAACAAAAGCAACATTTTTAACACATTTTGTTTTTTTCAAGAAAGACATGCTGCTCAAACAAGGGAAAATATTTTTGCAGTTTGTGAAGAAGATCTTGTAAATGATCAAAACATGTTCAAAGTTTTATACTTGAAATTTGTAACTGTTGCTCCATGGTTGGGTAAATCCGCTGATGTTCATAAATATATTTACTTAATATTATAAAATAACCAAATCAAGTGTTTTTAAATCATTTATACCAGCTTGGTTATTATATACCTGTCACTTCAATGTGTGGATTTCATATCAATTAAACAAAAACCTACAAGTTCCTATATATAATAAAGCAAGACTGCAGGCTTCATTAATGACCAGCCAAAAATTGTTACAGCTTGGCAGAGAAGTTTTCCCTCATCTATTCTAGTTATCAGATATTTAACCTCTATAGATAATATTTTATTCTGGTCTTTATAGAATTTGCTTGATGAAAAACTAAAAGAAAAAAAAAAGGGGAGAGAAGTCATGTTAACTTTATTATGTTCAGCAGCATGAAAGTGATCCCTTTTAGTATCACATGTGATAGTGGATAATCTTGTATAATAAATAATCTAATGCACAAAGGCTGGATGCATACAAGATAGAACATTAATGAAAGCCACTCCCTAGAAAGGATAAAGGGGATTTTAGTGGAACAGGATTGACTATCAACCTTTTTGTGGGTTATTTAAAGCCAAGGTGTATTTCAAATTGTAATTTCTTTGTTTTTTTTTTTTTTGTCCCCTCCAAAAGAAAATTGCATTAATACTTTTTTTTTTCTTTTGAGAATAACAATGATTTTACCAGATACAAGTCATACTATTTAACACATAGCTGTGGGGATGGATTCATACCATCCAAGGGTATTTGCATATTGGTGAATGTTACAAACCAGATTGAAATTCAAACTTGGCTCTTCGATTTGAAATGAGAAATCATTGTGTAATCACAGCACCTACATGTCCACTCTGGTGGAACATGAGTGGTCAAACAATGCCCGCTGGTTTGGTAAATAGGAAGTCAGTCACTTGGTTGCATGATAATGCTCAGTGACATGTTACAAAAACAACATTACTAAAGATGAATATGTTGATTGCAACCCTGTTGAGTCATGTTACCTCATAACCATTTACATACAAACAGTAAGTTTTCTGAATAGAATCAAATTGAAATATTCATTGAATTGGTTCCTCAAATTAAATTCTTTTTATGAAGAGAATTTACAGCTTTCTGCCAATGTGCAGAAGCAGGAGAGATTTTTTTCTGACACCCTCCTCTCCCACAATTTGTTGATTAATTGGCAATTTCATATTGAAAAGAAACAGGGGTTAGTCTTGATAATTTTGTATGACAATGGTGTGTGCCAAGATTTCTGACATGAGCCAATATCCACTTCTAACAATTGCCATTCTTTTGTTGCTTGAAGAGAAATTCTATTAAAATTATCCAAATTAACAAGCATTATTAAATGCTAAGAGCATATATATTTTTATCCAACATTTTTACTACTTCAAACATTACTTTTAGTGGATATGTGTGTTTCTCAATTCCACAGGCTGATAGACATAATATATAATCAAAATAAAAAATGGGGCACCTACTTCAAACAGGAGTATCCACTAAAAATAACACACACCTCAATACAGCTTAAGCTTGGGAAAAAAAATTGTCTAGTATTATATAAATAAAAATTTAAAAAATTAAAAATGATTATATTCAAATATAAATTTTTATATTTCAAGTATTCAAATCTAGCTCTTCAGGAAAATATTACATATTTATATTTGCAAAAGGAAATTAATCCTCTAAATATTTAGATTTATTTCTAATCTAAAAATACGACCAGTATAAATAAAATGGCAAACATTTTATAGATAAATATTCTCTAAATTTAAATTAAGTCAAAAGCAGATAGCAATATTGTTTTTGCATGTAAAGTGTTCTGTAATGATGCAAATACATAAATATGACAAGAATGAGAAGCAAACTGAAAACTGCTATTTGACATGGAACAATTCTATGAAAATTTACATATTTAAACATTGCTTCATTTTGCATTAAATTTTACAACCATATTGCTAAAAATCAAACTGAACAAGGCATAACCATAGTTAAACTACAAGTTTATAGCTCACGAATGTTTTAGCAGAAATGCAATAAACTTATTTAGATATTTGCGAGAAAGTTTTCACAGCACATTTTCCTAAAGAAAAATATATTACCTTGCTGGAGAACTCCTGTACTTCCTGGAAGGTTTTGTACACTTCAGTAACTTCCCCATTTGACCAAGTCACCTACAATGGATACAACCAATTAGACTCTGCACTAATATCATCTCATACAAGTTGACCAATTTAACTGATGTAATCATTTTAAAAAGGATTCAGTGTCTAAAAAAAAAAAAGTCTCCTCTTCCAGCCACTTTTTAAATACCAATACTAATCTGAATACATTATACTTATACAATCATCTAGGAATGGTTGTCTGATAATGTTTACTTGTAAGTGAAGAGACTATCTTTGCCTTGACCAAAATATAATTTTGGAATACAGATTGATACAATTGTTCTCCTTGTTATTAATATGAACTGTAAATTAAAAGGTGTTTTTGTACATACTCTTAAATGTATCCAAGTGATAAGGATACTGGTAAGTTATCCTTAACACTAGTTTAAAAAAGGTGGGGGGAACAGAAATCTTTCATGAAACTTTTTATAGAATAGACATTTTCTAAGATATATCAAATATTAAAAGTATTTTTGATATCACTAGATACAAAATAAAATCAATCACAAATGCTGGCAAAATAAAAACAAAAAAAAATTTAAAAGAGGCTATTATTGAGTGGAAGCGGAGAAATACAAGTCAAACACCAAAGTCGCTCAAAAAGTACCAAATATATGAGAATTTTAGTATAGCGTAATGCAGGTATGACTTTTGAACATCTATAATTACATTTAATGACCATAGATTTCATAATAATCTTAAAATATTTTCATTGTATAAATTTGAAGATATTAACTGTTGCTTGAAATTTTGTTGAAACAAAAAGATTTTAAAATTATCTTCCAAAAAATTAAGAGTAATGTGTAATGTTTTTTTTAAATATTTCAAACGTATAGCTAATGAAGAAAAAAATTAGGGGATATCGTTTACACAAGGAAAATATACTTACTTGCAGAATAAATTCCCTTGGCTTGTCCACCAATCTGCGAGTGCCTTTTACATTAATTTTGGTAACATGAGCTAAAGAAGAAATAATAATAAAAAAGTTTGCATATTTCTGTAATCTTAAAATACATTAAAATATTACTAATGTAATCATTTAAAAAAAAAAAAAAAAAAAAAAAAATTTAAACCTTATTGCCACAACTATCTATCAATTTCATGTTAATTTTAATCAATACAATGCCAAACATTTTGCATTAAATAACTTAGCCAACATAAAATCATATGCAAATTAACCTTGTCAATAGAATCCAATTTACTAATTATCTAGAATTTCTAAAACATCAAGATATTACATGATTCTCCAACATTAATTTAGCTACACATGAAAAAGAAAATTCAGTAGCACAAAATACCAAAAGTAAGACAGGCAATATTACAAAAATTTAGTGCAATAACATGGACTTGCTGAAATATAAAATATTTTTTACATTTTCTTTATAAAATGATTGCTTTAAAAGTTAATTCAAATTGTATTATCCTGTTTACGAAAAATGTAAAGTGTAATCACTTAAATGTAATCAGTGTATCAATTACTTAAATGTAATCAGTGTATCAATTACTAAAATGTAATCTTAAATGTAATCAGTGTATCAATTACTTAAATGTAATCAGTGTATCAATTACTTAAATGTAAAGTGTATCAATTCTTAAATGTAATCAGTGTATCAATTACTTAAATGTAATCAGTGTATCAATTACTTAAATGTAATCAGTGTATCAATTACTTAAATGTAAAATGTATAATTCAGTGTATCAATTACTTAAATGTAATCAGTGTATCAATTACTTAAATGTAATCAGTGTATCAATTACTTAAATGTAATCAGTATCAATTCTTAAATATAATCACTTAAATGTAATCAGTGTATCAATTACTTAAATGTAATCAGTGTATCAATTACTTAAATGTAATCAGTGTATCAATTACTTAAATGTAATCAATCAGTGTATCAATTACTTAAATGTAATCAGTGTATCAATTACTTAAATGTAATCAGTGTATCAATTACTTAAATGTAATCAGTGTATCAATTACTTAAATGTAATCAGTGTATCAATTACTTAAATGTAATCAGTGTATCAATTACTTAAATGTAATCAGTGTATCAATTACTTAAATGTAATCAGTGTATCAATTACTTAAATGTAATCAGTGTATCAATTACTTAAATGTAGTAGTTCAATATGTATCGTTCTGATAGTATGAGATTACTTTATAATCATTTAAAAGAAAATATTTGAATGGCTGTTTTTTTCTTAAGTCTTATGAAGATTCTTTGCTATAAAAGGTTAGCATTAAGTTATTTGTTTTATGGGAATTTCAAAAGCAATTGCATTGAAACAAGAAGCAGCATACTCAATGATAGAATGGTTTAATAGATGCACAGTTCTTTGTTAAAGAGATTTGTATAGCTGAAATTTCAATGAAGTTATGTGATGAAAACAAAAATATCTAAAATCTAATTCTGTTAAATGAATACTTAATCTAAATAAAATAATAATACTGTATATTTCTTTCAAAAATGATAATTTGGATGTTGTTTTTTTTTTTTTATGTATAGACCAATTCTTTTTGATGGATTAAAAGAAATGTATCAAGTGTGTTAAACAGCAGGGAAAACAATACTATATACATTTCATGGCTGTAGATCTTAATAGGGATTGAAATTTTCAGTACCTCTTTGTGTGGAGGGGATATGACATTTGGTTCACACACGCACACACAGATTGCTTCCTGCACCTCAAGGAATCAAATTCAAACAAGAGACAGTAACAATCTAAATCAACAAGATTGCTTCAGAAATTGAGAAAAAAAAAAAAAAAAAAAAAAGTTCTCAAGTTGGACATGCAAAATTTCCAATTTTTAAGATTTTGTCTAACTGGAACCAAAAGACAACCATTTACAAGCAATATGTATAAGCAAGGAAATACTTTTAAAATTGTTTACCAAAAGAATTTTCTATTAACTCAACATTTGGTTCTGTGGTAAATTACTGAAGATAAAAATTTCTATCCCTAGCATCAGATTGATGAGAATTATCACCAAATTGACAAAACAGCCAATTTCAACCCAAGAAAATCTAAAAGGAATAAATTGTCTTAATTTGTGAAAGAACAGAAATTCAAAAAGATGTATTTACAATGTAGGAATAACTAAAAATTAGCATCTTGCAAATAAAATCTTAAAATATACTCTTAATCTAATTTGAAAGAGAATGAGGAAGCAAACAAACTAGTGCTAAGAGTTATACAAATTAATTTTTTAAACATTTGATTGCTTAACTTTTGGACTTAAAAATATCAGAGTTTGGGTGATCTATCAATATTTAAATGTTGAGAAAACTTGTATATATGATTTCTTTCAATTTTTTTTTTTTTTTAACTGCCAGTTTTACAAACTTCTCTCTTATATATATATATATATATATATATATATATATATATACACACACACACAGTGTAAAAGCATGTGGGATACCCTGTCCTCATTAGCCTACAACCAGGGTACATAACAGTTTGTTGCTAAGGTGGTACTGCCACCAGCAGCTTTTGCCACCAGACAGGGTATTGCTTTTTTTTTTTTTTTTTTATTCTTTTATGTAGACATGACAGTCTCTGATTTTTTTTTTTTTTTATTTATTCTTTTATGTAGACATGACAGTCTCTGATTTTTTTTTTTTTTTTTTATGTAACTGCAAGTCAGATTTACAACTTTGCTTTTGTTAACCAATACACAATGTGCTCATAGCAACCATTATCAATGATGTACAATGGAAGGTGAACAGAAGTGTTTTATGTTGGAAGTAGCATTGTGTTGCAAGCATGGTTTTAATTAACTTTATTTTGAATCATGACCAGATCCAACTCGATGTCTGTTGAGCTGTGGTCTGGAGACAATGTGTAGCATGCTTCAGGCACCAGCCAGTTATGCCCACCTTCAAAAAGGAGGAGACAACTGACCGTCCAAGAAATTCACAGCACCTGACATGTCCACCAGTTTTTCTTTCGCCTGTGTGCATTCTCCCCGTCCTCCTACCATGGAACTTAATTCTACTAGGAGGACACACTTCTTTGAATCAGATCCCACTACAATGTCAGGGTGTGCGTCTGTCTGATGTGTATCAGTAATTGCAGAGGTGTTCTAAGATCAACTAACACCCTCCTATCACAGGCTCTACTCAGTAGAGTAATATTCAGAGTTATTTGGGCCTTTCACAAAGGGCGTTCACCTTCTTTGTTGTTATGGGACCTTACCCATAATAACATAATGGACTATTTCAAATGTAATAAATACTGCATCTCAAGAAGAAGCAGGAAGTTCTGTCTGAAGTCTGGAGTGAAGTCCGTCAGGAGTCTGTGATTCAGTCAGTCGAGTCAGAGACAGTCCGAAACAGAGTCGCGTTCAGACAATTACTACTAAACCTGATTGTTCAGATAACACTTTTCTACCTCTCCCTATATATTCCTGTTTGTAATATATCTGTATTATTCCATATCCGTATACAAGTTCTTCTTTATTGGTTCTATATTGGACTATCACCGTGGTACAAGGAACCGGACCATAACACTTGTAAAAACAGATCTTAGGTTCTCTAGCTGTTATAGGTTGTTTATTGGCTGCTTCACGTTGTGTACTGACTAACCCCGACCACTTCCAGCACTTTGTTATGATACAATGTGTACATTTGCAGCGATTGTATGCATGCAGAGAGCACATGACATAAAGTGCCTCGATCACTGACATAATGCACATACATTGGTGTCAGTGTACTCATCCCCACCAGCTTGAGGTTGGTTGCATTTGGTAGATCATAAGTAGATTGCAAGAGTAATGATATTGCCAATGGGTCCAATGCAATGAGGGTATTTCATGATAGCTTCATAGGACCAATATCACTCCATATAGTCCAAGTAAGAAACAGTAGTAGCTGTTCACTGCTCTTCCTTGAGATTCCCGATTTCTTCAATGACCATGTCTTCCCCACCCCCGAACCCTGTTTGGAGAAAAACTGGTTCCTCATGCTGCGCAGGCCAGCTCAATTGGTTCAAGTCACCCCCATAATCTCCTAGGTTCGCAGACTGGATTCTGTTTGCATGGTTTTTTTACTGCCAACCATTTGGTGACAGTTTTGATATCTGGCTGTAACCTGCTGAGTCATCGTGTGACCTTGAACTTTTCCACCAATGAGGGGTATGGGAAGCTGCCAGTTTCCAGCATTGGTATAGAGTCCTACTATGGAGAAGCAGGGGGGAAATTCATGCCACTTGCACGGGTACTTGTTGATACACTGTTGTGTCTGCTGAATGCGAGAGAGTAATATACAACCTGCAATGGCCACAGAAGCTGGCATAGCAAGCCATGTTGGTAGCTGGGGAGATGGGTTCTGTTGATGAATTTAAATCCATCTAGTGCCACTTTCTGCAGCTCTTACCTCGGTGCTGATCAGTCAGTGGAATTCCATGCAGCTTCTCTAACCGTTGGGATCATGTTACCCCCACCAATGCAGAAGTGAATCTCCCTGACAGAGCCTCTGAGTAATGATAAGCTCTGGTTTTTCTTGGGTTTAGCCCTCATTCTTGCCCACATGAAAAGCTTATGGTAGCACTACCAACCTTAGATGGGACCAGAATGGTGATGTCATTCATGAATGCTCTGGAAGGAGGAAGGGCCATTTGTTTCTTAGTCATCACTCCTCTTGCTGTGTCCACTGCACCCTGTAATACGAGTTCCATAGACATAACGAAAAGAAGTGGCGAAATCACACACCTCATCATGATGCCAACCTTGAGGGCCTGCCACTTGGTTGTGTGGTTACCAATGATGAATTGCATAAACGTTGCTCCAAATATAAATTCCACATCCTTACTAGGGAAACTGAAAAATTTGATGGACATTTGAATTAGATCATAAGGATCCAATTCATATACATTTGCGAGATCAAGCCAAATTACATATAGCTCAGTTTTATTTTGTTTGACTGATAGGACTGAGTTCCAAATCATCTGTGAATGCTCCAGACAGCCAGAGAAGCCATCTGGACAGTTGTGTTTATATAATGGTTACCTAGCAGGAAGTCTGTCATACAATGGACAAGGACCCCTAAAAATTTCCCCCCCTCCACATTCAAGAGGGATATGGGGTGGAAATTTGTACTGCCTTTTGCATTCTTTTCCTTATGTATCCAAATGCAACCTGCCACGCACCATTCTTGTGGTTCAATACCTTGTTTCCATGCCTGCTGAAGAAGGATGATGAGTTGCTTGAGGACGTTTAGACAATTATATAGCTTGTAAAATATTCCATTTATTCCCGGGGCACTACCGGCATGGGATTTGTGGACAAATTCCTGAATTTCCCCTCAACTGTCAGTTGTCATTAAACATGACCTCTGGATCTTGGGGCTTAGGAAGGTCATTCATAAGAAGGACTGGAACATCTTTTCAAGCATCAGAATAAGTCATCCTCTGGTGGTTCCAGAGTTACTCCTGCAGTATGTCAAGTGTGCTGCTCTTAGTCTTCATGAACAGCTTTTTAGCAAAAGCATAAGAATTATTGTAAAATGATCTTTAAAACTGTCACTTTTTTTCTTTGGTTCTCAGCTCTAGAGATCACCAAGATCCTTTCTTTAATATCATTAAGCAGGTCTTTAAGGCCTGCCCTCTCATGAATTAGAGCTTCTTTAAGTCAGTGCTTCACAACTCTGCTCTTAGTTTATCCTTCTGAAACAGTTATCTATTTGGTTGCATCTCTTCTTTCCTATCCCCTCTTACAGTTGCCACACCAAACCACTCAAAGATAAACCTCATGCACAGAAAGAAAGATCAGATGGCTAATGGGGCCCTGTAGATAGTTGGTAAGTATTAATTTCCTGATTGAGATTCAACCAAGTAGCTCTCAGATTGCCTTTGAGCCATTGGATTTTTGGCTTGCTTGGAATTTCTGCAAGGTATTGATGCTCAGCAATGGGTGTAATCTGGATTCATAATCCCATCATTCAACTTACATTCTCCAATAGGGAAATTGCTTTGCCTACACCAAGGTCGTCAAATTCCTTGCTGCAATCACACGTAAATGATTGCAAGTCCATATATATATATATATATATATATATATATAAAAAGGCAATTTTAAATCGTTGCTAATTTTTCTAAAAATGCCTAGAAAATCTGTCAATAAATTGCTTATTGTCAGTCAAGGACTAACTGATGAAGAAATCTTAAATGAAATGTGGACTCTAAGCACTTTAAATTGGCAAAGCTGGTGAATTGTCTTCTTTAGAATGTTTGGCAATCCATTTGAACTTTATAAAATGATAAATAATAAAATATTTGTTATAGTTGTTTCACATATTTATTTCTTTATAAAGTAGTAAACATTGCATCAGTTGCTTCACATTTTTAGAATATTGTAAATATAAAATTATTCTTGTAAATTCCCAAGAACAAAGAAAATGTATACACTTGGGTTTTATTAAAATTCTGATCACTTTAAAAACAAATATTGCCAAGAGTGAAAGTAGTATAAAATAGCGGCATCAAGAAGAGAAAAAAAAAATCCTTCTGACATCATATTTTTATGGGCATAAAAGTTAAACTTTGCCAAAATTTAATTATGAAATATTTTAATCTTTCCTCTTTAAAATAATCAATACAAAGCATTTAAAATTGGGTTATTTTTAAACCCATCTTTCTATTCCCTACAACATCCAAGGAATTGTTCATTGGTAATTATATATAATATATATATATATATATATATATATATATATAAGTGTGTATGTGTGTGTGTGGTAAAGATTCTCAAACTGTTAAAAGAAGTGATAAATCTCTTGCATATTACACATAAAAGTCACTTACCTTTATCCTTGTGTGTTGGAGAGGTGTTTGATACACACCTGCTACAGCAGTAAGGTCCAGTACCTGGTTTGGGAGGTGATGGACTTGAAGTACAGTTATGACAACACAGGCACTTATCCTGAAAAAAAAAAAGAAAAAAGAAATTATAGCCATTAAATGCTAAGTATATTAATATAAATTATTCACATACGCAAACATACTATAAATGTCAAATTAAATTCAATCAAGTATTTGGCATTCCAACAAATGGAAAGACATTTATAAATCTGATAAAAGTGATGTTTATAATGGTAATAATTATGTTAGATTTGAAAAGTATTGTTTTTCAAAAGGTTTCCAAATAGAACCTACCACTTGTTATGACAATCTTACAGATTCCAAAAAAATAAAATCTATTCAAAGAACTTAGTTAAAACTTTCAGTTTATAATCAACATGCATTTAATTTTAATTTCATGACCTAACATTAATGTCAGAGTTCTTTAGATAATTTTACCAAGTAGAACAAGAGAAAATTGAAAGCTGGGGGAGATAACCAAAATGAATAGTCCAAATGTAAAGGCATAAAAAAGAAATTCCTTTTCTTTAATAAACTACTTCCAAAGTTATGTAGAGTGAATCTTTATCAAAATTGAGTAAATTTTATAAACTCAGCAAGAATATAATCATTAGGAATTCCAGCTAGTTGTTAATTGCCAGTCCACTGGGGTCCTGGCAATCAATGCAGACATCCGGGGGGGGTTACTTCTTGGACCAACCCTCTTTTTACTTTAAATAAATGATCTGCATTTGTGAATATCTATGACAATGATACAATATATGGTTGCACTTCCAAAATTTGTGATGACCAGAGATTGGCACCTGATCTCTCATCCGATCTAATTCTAACATCTCAGAGGGGAAGAGTTGCATTCACTTATTAATGATCAGGCGTCGAACTACCACTAGTCATGATGAACGGATGTCCCATCATGGAGGCACTATGCCTTCAGCAACTACCCTTAGACCTCAAGCAGAACTCATACATACAATCCATCAAAAAAGATTCAGAAAAAAAGGGTCAGTTTCCTGTACCGACCCAGTAAATATCAGACTCCTCATGCTATCCTCTACAAGAGCCTAAAAATGGAGTACTGCAGTCATATTTGGGCGGGAGCTGCCCAGACCTCACTTCTCAATCTCGACAGGGTCCAAGAGTGTGTCTGCATCCTTGTGGGCAACATTTTCCACACTGCAACTCCTATCACAGACGGGATGCGGCAAGCCTCTCATTGCTCTATCGCTACTTCCATGGAAAATGCTCAGATGGATTACATTCCTTAGTTCTGCCAGTTATGACTTTCATGGCTAGGACCTGCCCTGCCACTCAACATTGTAGCAAGCCGCCCTGCCACTCAACATTGTAGCAAGCCGCCCTGCCACTCAACATTGTAGCAAGCCGCCCTGCCACTCAACATTGTAGCAAGCGCCCTGCCACCAGCTCAACATTGTAGCAAGCCGCCCTGCCACTCAACATTGTAGCAAGCCGCCCTGCCACTCAACATTGTAGCAAGCCGCCCTGCCACTCAACATTGTAGCAAGCCGCCCTGCCACTCAACATTGTAGCAAGCCGCCCTGCCACACAACATTGTAGCAAGCCGCCCTGCCACTCAACATTGTGCCACTCAAAGCAAGCCCCCTGCCACATTCAACATTGTAGCCACTCAACAAGCCGCCCTGCCACACAACATTGTAGCAAGCCGCCCTCATTCTCTCCATTGGTGAGAAGTTCCACTCAAGCAGCTTCTTCTCGTGAACCACTTCTTTAAAAAATTACTTCACTACTTTAGGATAAATTCCAAGTTATGCTATTCTATTAGCTGGTGTTCCCAAGAGGAACCTCAACTAAGTTGAAATCAGACTCAACACTGTTTAACTTTGATGATTGAACAAAAACCAGTATTATCAGCAAGATTCAATTATAGACAGAGTACATTAAACATTTTTAATCATTGTTAGTGAATTTAAAAGAAGAAAAACAAAAACACTAAATAAAAATACACTAAGAATCCTCATTACCACAAAGATCACACTCCCTTGCTTGAAAATGGCAAAGTATTAGCTGAACGCTTACAGAACAATTTGCACTATAGATAATTTCTCCACATAGCCCTATTAAAAAAAAAAAAATTTGTAAGAAAATCGATTTAAAATAAATAATTTTTTTTGTTTTTAAATTTACAAAATATTCCTTGTCTTGCATTTAACTAAATTCATTATAATATAAATTCATTAGTAAATACGGATCTTATCCAAATTACCAGAAGCAAATTTACAATAGTGTGTGTGTATATATAAACTAAATTGTTAATTACTGATGAAGCAGATTATAATTTATGCCACAATAGGAGAAAGTGAAAACAACTTGAAATTTTGTCTGATTGATCTCCATTGCAAAAGATGAAGTGGCAAATTAAATATTTTCAGAAAAAAGAAAAAAAATGAAATGCTTATTATAATTATGCCTAACTTCTTATAAAAGCCAAATGAAAATAAACCCATAAACAGTGATAATAAAAATTCTTCCTAAATAATTTCTAGATTCTGATGTCATAATCAAGTCATCTATAAAAGCTTGCATTGAAGTAAATAACCAAAAGCAATGGATTGAAAATTTCAACAGGAAATCAAGACAAAAAAAAAAAAAGCCTTAGCTTTAAACAGTAATACTAAAAAGTTATTTTTCAGTTTTTGTCATTAAAGTTGCAATGACTAAATTGCAGACATCTTTTATTAAAGCAAAATTAACCCAAATTCCCAGCATCAATGTAAAAAAAAAAAAAAAAAAAAAAAAGTGCCATCTTATAATTGTCATCATTTTTGTTGGGTTATATAAAGCAGTTGTGGTTTAAAAAATATCCTACCATTGTTTGCAGTAATGCTGCTTGTATTAAACCATAATACTTGTTTTAATAACAAAATTGCAAGGTCCTGTGAATACTTCATTTTATGAGTGTCTCCCAGCTCAAGGACAAATCTGTTAGAAGTGAAGGAGTTTATTGGTTTATGGCAGTTCTCATGTCTGAAGAGAAAGTGATCAGGAGGGAGCTTGATGACAACAAAGTTAAACAGTGCTGAAATAATTGTGTGTGTGTGTGTGTGTGTGTGTGTGTGTGTGTGTGTGATTAATGTAGATTTGGGCAGCAACCTTTTATTATTTAGTTTTTACAGCGTTCTTGCATTTTTCCATTTGGTGGGAGTGAGCAAGTACAAAAACTGCCCAAATTGTCAATTGCCCCAAGACTTTCAGCTACTTTTGCCATTTTCAAGGGGGTTGTTTTTGGTGACGTTAGTTTATTTTCATGTTTTGACTGTGTGAGATGTTGTTCATGAATTATAGTAGGAGCATTAATTTCAAGCCATTATATGTTGGGCATGGTTGGAATTTGAGTGGGCGACTTTTGTATTACATGTTAAATGTTTTTTTTTTTTTATGGCGCTTTGCTCCGATAAGTAACATGTCAGGTGTCTACTCAAGGAGGTGGTCATATGGCCGATTATATATATATATATAATTTAAAACATGACAAAATCATTTGTTGTGGTGTTCTTATTAATTGTAAAACTCTTCAGTTACAAGTGGCAGGAGCTTATTGTGGTTCCCAAGTCTGTGAGGAGAAAGCTTATGGTTGGCTTGAGCTCAAGTCTGTCTCTAAACAACAGTGAAATAAGACAAAGAAAAAAATTAATAAAAATAATCAAAGGAATGACATGCTGAAGTATATAAAAGCACAACAAAATCAATACTTTGTCTTGTATAATATCTAACTCAAATATATTGCTATTCTCAGGTTTGTGAAATCAAAGCAAATACCATTTCATTGACAATGTGACAAAAAAGATTTCAAGACTCTGGATCATAGTGAAAAGGTAGCAAGGATTGCAATAAGGACAACTCTGGAAAAGCAACAGTGTCTGATATAGAAGAAAGAGGGGGAGAGAAAAGAAAAGAGAAACAAGACCAACAATTGAGAAATTAATCACAACTACAGCAACATTTTTCCAAGTATTAAAAAGAAAATCCATGAAGTCAGTGAAAGATGAGCAAGATATTCCTGTGATTTTCTTAACAGCATGAAAACTGAATTCTCATCTGGCCTGACATTGTAAGAAAAAGCTACCAGTTTCCATGAACAAATTCACAACAGTGAAGCATAACTAGATTCTTTGAAACAATTTAAGTGCCAAGCTGGTTAAATTGTTGTTTTAAAAGTTGTCACAGCCTTAGGAAACTGTGTTCCTGAAGAAAGTTTATGAATGACAGCATTATAGAAAAATTCAAACTACAATCATCAATGAAGAAAATTCTGCAATGTTGACTAAATAAAATGCCTGCCAGAAGAAAAGCCAGCATTGGGACAAAGTGCAGAAGGATCACACGTTCCCCACCCCTTGCATTAACGCTACTAGAACTCAAATTACTACTTGTCTGCATTGTATATTATGCTAATCCAGGTTTCAAGAATTGGTGGGTGGGCGTTTAATCAAAATGGGCAAGGTGTTAGTCTTGTAAAATACAAATCACAAAAAGCATGGATGACATATCCACATTTTACATTTTGTTTTTTTGGAAGAATTTCTATCTGCTGCTAGATTGCCCTGAGCAAGTATTGGACTCAAAAACAATATGTCCTACTGCTTATTAACAATGCAGTGTCACACAGTATGAAAAAACAATTAGAATAACCAAACAGGGCTATCTAGCATCCTTCCCTCCTCTACACAACATCAGTGCTATAGCAGCCTGATCAGGGAACCATTGCAACAATCAAGAAATATTATCATCATATGTTGCATGCCATCATCAGTGAAGATGTCACTGACAAAGTGTTGTAGAGTAGTTTTCACAGTGAAGGCCTGTATTTCAATGTCGTCCTAAATTAGGTTCGACGTACAAAACGTTAGGAACTTGAAATAAGAGTTAATGACGCAGCATTCTAGTTGTGATGGTTGATACTTCAATGTCCGACAGACTCACTCAACACCACTGAGCCCAACTGGCGACCACTACTTATGTGTGGGAGAGTCTATTAATAATAGAATAGGTACATCAGGTATAACACAAAGGACCATTGTAAAT